GTTCTTGTTTAGCCCGCAACGTTGCCGGTTTTCACCAAGCCAACGCGTACGAATTGTCCAATAAGAACAGCGCTATCCACCTGTTTTGTTGCCACGCGGCGATCACGGGACATAAATTTGCATTTAATGCCTATTTTCGTATTATTCTTCATACGTTCAACGTTGTGCATCCCGTTTTACTTTGTGTTCGTTGTGCATCCCGTTTGTGGAATCGATAATTCCATTGTATTTACGTATCCATGGCAATTAATAAAAATAACGTCAGTTTTTATTTTAATGTGACAGTTATTTAAAATGTCATATTTTTTATAATTATTAATTTTTTTAGTTTACATTAGGTATTTGTTAAATGAAGTTTTGTGTTGAAATTAAAATATTTGAAAATGTTTTTCTTTGATTTAATTAGTTTATTCGTATAATTATCTAAACAAATTACACTCGTGCATAAAAATATTCAGATAATTTTGCATTCAAGCATATTGCCCTTTAAAAAATGCATTCGGTCATTTTCATATTTTGAGGAAAGAGCCCTCCACCTTCGGTGTCTCTTTCCAAAATATGAAAATGAACTCATGCATTAGGCTTTCAAGCAAAATTATCGATAATTTTTAAGCACTTGTGTAATTACCCCCGATAATTTTTTTCTTACATGAAAACGTCGTAGTTGAATTACATTTAAGTCACTTTGATAACGGATAAAAAGGAAGGTAACTTTTTGCAAGTGGATAATTATTTATTTACCTCGTGTCATTTCATTTCCTTGACAACCTTGCAAATAATTATTTTTTAATACCAGTTGTCAAAAAATCTTTTAAAATGAATCGTTTTGGTGTCGTGTCCGACAAAAAAATTAAAGAACAAATTGTAAATAGTATCCCAAATAACACTTTAAATAATAAAGCGTCAATTTGGCGACAATTTATGGCATTTTGTAATGCGAGGAATTACAAACTACTCGACTTAACATCACAGCAAGACTTAGCAAATATTTTGCTTGATTGGGCATACAATATGAAAAAAAATTAATGGAGATGATTATAAGGAATACGTTATCAAAACTATGTGGAACTCAACGGCAAAAATGCTTCAAGAGAAATACTATCAAGATTTTAATATCAAAATTAATCCATTTTCCGATATTGTATTCAAAGAGGCCCGTGATGCTAGAAATGCAAAAAGAAAGGAGTTACAAAGAATTCCGGAAAGCAGAAAAAGAAGTTCAAATGCTCTCACAAAAGAGGAAATTATAAAAATGGCTAAGATATGGAAAGAAAATGAACCAGAAGGTTTACAAAAAAGATTCTTCCATATTGTTTCTTACCAGTTAGCATGAAGAGGCGGAGAAGCAGCAGCATGCATGTTGTATTATTTTAGTGAAGAAAAAACCAACGATGGGATATGAAAATTGCCTGTCAGTCAAACAATGAAAACAACATTCAAAATGCAAGCATTACAGATTTTATTGAAGAAAATAATACACTGGAGCTATCTTCTACCTCTACATCCAGAATTATTTATAATAATTGTTCATTTACTAATTGTTCATTTAAATAAATTTAAAAAAGAGACTTAATCATCAATTAATCACAAAATTATCTCGTCGAATTACACTCGAGCTTTTTTTTCTGGCAGGATAAATTTATGTTTTCTAACTTTCAAACTTATTACCTTTTAGCAATTTGACTCGAAAAAATGTCATCTGACAAAATCGCTCGACCTACGGTCTCGCAATTTGATTGATGACATTTTTTCTTGTCAAATTGCTAGGTAACAAGCTTTTAAGGAAAACAAAAAATTATCCGGCTAAAAATAAGCTCTTGTGTAATTATAGTCGATAATAGTTTACACATTGCGACAAGATAAAAAAGGTAAGTAAGAATTATTAATTACACTGGTCAACAACCATTTTGCCTGGCACTGCCGCAGATGAAAAGCTTCGCAAACTTTTTGCTAATGTGTCCTAGTTTCAATTTTGTACTGGTTTTGTCCTGGTTTTGCAGATTTGGTCCTGGTTTGTACTTTTTTTTATTATTGACGTTATTAGCACATCTCTAATATAGGTGATCTGATCTAGCTCGCTCCTGTCACCATTTTTATCTACTTACCTACTTATTTTAAAACAATGTTTTTACATTTTGGTACTTATTTTAAAACAATGTTTTTACATTTTGTTACTTATTTTAAAACAATGTTTTTACATTTTGGTACTTATTTTAAAACAATGTTTTTACATTTTGTTACTTATTTTAAAACAATGTTTTTACATTTTATTTTTTAAAAACAGTTTTCGTATTGTCTGGGAATAAATACTAATAATTACTGGTATGTAGGATTACCTAATTGAATTTTATTTGCCCCTTATTAAATTAAATTTAAATATTATAATCACCATTTGTATATTTTTAGCAGACTTCTAACATAAATTATTTTGACTTACCATGTCGACCTCAAATCCCAAAAAAGTATGCAATCCACTTTTAACTTGGAATTACAAAAAAAATTCCATTCATATAAAAACATCGAATAAATAAGTTTTGTTTATTTTTTGGAAGGGCGATGTTATGCCCTGGTTTTTTATTTAAGAAAGTTTGTCACATTACAAATATAACCAAATAACAAATAAATTTTACAAAATTTATCAAAAATTAGGATATTATAAAAAAACTACTTTTAATAATTAATACAATTAAACTTTGTCATTATTCCTGCAGAGTAGGTATAACTAAATAAATGTACAGTAATTTCGGGTTTTTTCCGTGAATATTGTTAAACAATTTAAATTTCCTGCCTAACAACGTAAATAATAAACTCATTATTCACGTTGTTAGGCATCAGTTATTGGCCGATTTCAATATTCACTGTGATTTCAACCAATCGGGGTTTAAATTGGAAGAAGGCGACTATAATAACATTTAAAATTGATAAAAACTTAGGTTAACCATTTGACAGATGTCAGATTTTATTTATTTAATTAGTGCAATTAAATGTTTTTTATTCGGAATTTGGGTATTTAGTTTGCAAATTCTAGGGACCCTTAACTTATAATTGGCTACATTGAGTAAAACAAAATTATTTAGTAGATTTATGCAGCACAAATTAATTATGTTATGCTGTTTTGTTTTTAAAAGTCCCTCGTGAAATTTCACACCTAAAAGTTAAAAATCGTAAATTGATATGATTTAATTAAACTTATTTTTAATTAATTTTGTCAAAAATCTGCGTTTTTCAAAAAATAATAATACTGGCTTTAAACAAAAAACTTTTATTATAATATATAAGAAAGTATATAAGAAAATAGAAAAAACTAATAAAGTGCTATAGCTGATGAAATAATTTCATTGAAATTTAAATTACTTATTACAACAAAATGAAAAAATTTTTTTCTGAAATTGTTAGATTTTAAGTTAGTACCTTTTGAGATATTTTAGAATAAAAAAGCCCGATTTTGGAGAAATCGCAAAATTTTGAATTTTTTCCCTTCTGAGATGTTTTTGATTAAAAATTTACCCGATTGAGGACTAATCGCAATATTTTGGCTATTTTTAAAACAAGCACATTAAAATAATAAAATACGATGAAATTTTATTTTATTTTATGATTTTATTTATTTTTATTTTACAAATTAATTTGCTTCTAACAGGCCTAATATTAAATAAAACACAATAAAATAATGTTTTCCGAAAGATATTTCAAATTAGACATGTTTTAAATTTTAAATTCCTAAAAAAAAATATAAAGTCTTTGTGTTGAAATTTGATCCACTTATTACAACATAATAAAAAAAAATTATCTTCAAATTTTGGATTATTAGAGTGTGTACCTTATGGATTATTTCTAATTAAAAATATGCCCAATTTTAGTAAAATATTTTAATATTTCTATTTTTAAAACATTCAACTAAAAAAGTTATAAAGTCTGATTAAGTGATTTAATTTAAACTGCTTATTACAACTTAATAAAGTATGTATGTTCTACCAGTAAAAGCTTTTGAATAATTTTTACAATTAATGTTTTTTGCCTTTTATATTTTTAAAAAGAATTTTTAATAAAAAATAAAGCTCATTGTGCACATTCTATAATACATTAAGTAATAAAAACAATTAAAAGTATTCGAATAAATCTCTGACTAAGTCGCGGTATCGAACTTACAGCGCGCGGCAGCGTTAAAACTCTGCTCACTGCTTGATATTAAATAATATCTTCCTACGAAAAATTTGTGTTTGCAGTGTTGCCGGATTTAGGGCTACACAAGAACCGTAAGATATCTAGGATTCCTATTCTAGATACACTTACTACAGCGCGCCACCTACAGTTAAATTCAATGAACTATTCTGTATGTAACTATGGCTAAACCGGTCGTTGTTAAGCCCTGCCAAAAATTTAACCTGGGGTTCCCAACACCGTGATTAATCGATTAGCGTTGAAATAACGTCAAACGTTGTTCAGCCCGGGAGTGGGCCACACAAAGTCATTTCGGGCTACACAGAGTATAGCTTGTATATAGAATGGGCTGCACAATGACCGTTTATATGTGTATATATATATATATATATATATACATATATATATATATATATATATATATATATATGTCGGGGTTGCATCCCCTTGTTCTCCAAGGTCTGCCATACTTAATAATTGTTTATAGTAACCACACAATGTTTATTTAATAACGTTTATATTGTTTATTTTAGCACACACATACAAAACTAACTATACTCAACTAATTATTAACATAAACTAATTATTAACCACTAAACTAATGTCTATTTTGGAAACTCGTAGAATGAAGGTGATCCCACTGGTCGTGCCAAGTCAGGGATCTCAAACTGAATGAATGTCCCTCTTTCTATTACGATGCAAAAGCCATCATTGCTTGCTCATCATTTCGCATTCGGTACTTCTCCGAAATACCTGGCACCGCCCTTGATTCCACCCAAGCTTGTTTAGGCAACCAACTTGTCACTCAACGAGTTCCGTTACACGGCCATTCTGACAAGTCACACGTCCTCGTGTGACTCGGCTACAAACAAAACTATAGAAGTAAATCGCTCGGTCATTCTGACATTATTTAACTTGCTTGTTTGTAATCATAAAACAATTACATTTACACAATAATTATTAACGTTAAGGTCAATTACTTAACCAACGATCAAAATAAATTGTAATCGCTTAACCAATGATCAAGATAAATTGTAATCGCTTAACCAACGATCAAGAAATAAATTGACATCGCTTAACCAACGATCAAGAAATAAATTGTCATCGCTTAATCAGCGATCAAAAAATAAATTGTCATCGCTTAACCAGCGATCAAGAAATAAATTGTCATCGCTTAACCAGCGATTAAGAAATAAATTGTCATCGCTTAACCAGCGATTAAAAAATAAATTGTCATCGCTTAACCAGCGATTAAAAAATAAATTGTCATCGCTTAACCAGCGATCAAGAAATAAATTGTCATCGCTTAACCAGCGATTACACAGATCAATTTTCATCGCTTAACCAGCGATTAAGAAATAAATTGTCATCGCTTAACCAGCGATTAAAAAATAAATTGTCATCGCTTAACCAGCGATTAAGAAATAAATTGTCATCGCTTAATCAGCGATCAAAAAATAAATTGTCATCGCTTAACCAGCGATCAAGAAATAAATTGTCACCGCTTAACCAGCGATTAAGAAATAAATTGTCATCGCTTAACCAGCGATTAAAAAAATAAATTGTCATCGCTTAACCAGCGATTAAAAAATAAATTGTCATCGCTTAACCAGCGATCAAGAAATAAATTGTCATCGCTTAACCAGCGATTACACAGATCAATTTTCATCGCTTAACCAGCGATTAAGAAATAAATTGTTCAATAACTGAGACTTATACCTAATGGTGAAATATCTGTAATTACATTTTCAAAATAGTTTTTACTAAATTCATATTTATCGCATATGTTGACTATATTAATTTTAGAAAATTTTTATTTTATTTCACGTCATGTAAACAGCTATATTTTGGTTTAAAATATCGTGGCCCACTAACATTTCGTGTCGTAAGCAATGGTCAGGCAACACATGAAATAATATTTCAAAGCAAATATTATCAATCTCAATATCACTTAATATTTCTTGACTACTGTGTACACTGGTTTGTCCTATACCATTCATAACAACAACATTATTATAACGCGTCCCGCTAAACTTAAGAGATGCTGATTCTTTAATAAGTGAACACTCGGCGCCCGAGTCATAGTAAAATGAAAAACTCTCACCGTGATGACGTAGAGAACCAGATGGTGTGTTTATTAAACAAACATCCACGCGACGCTCTGCCGACGGACCTGCTCTGCTGCTACCTGCGTCGTTATTGGCTTCCGATTTCTTTGGGAACGAACAACGGGAAGCGTAGTGGCCAGACTTGTTACACTTGAAGCATGTAACCATTTTATTCGTATTAGATGTGGCACTTGGTAATGGCATTCCTCCATGTTGCGTTTTAAAATTGCTTATTTTACTTGAACGGCACTCTGTTGACTTGTGTCCTATTTTCCCACAATTAAAACAATTTATATGCGATGCAATATTTGGTTTAAATTGTTTTGCGTCGGATACATCTCGCTCATTAACTGGAAGTTTTCTTTTCGAGAAAGAAAATGCTGCTAATTCTTGCTGCAAATTTTGTCTTGTTTTTATTTCTGTGGTAAATGCAAGGTGTTGAACTTTATTTTCGAATTGAGAAATTTGGGCTAGAACAGTGGCAACTGCGATTTCTTCGATATTTAAATTTTTCCATCTTGACATTAATAATGAGACTTGGCTGGCTGCAAATGCTGCGACGCATTCTTCCTCTTTCGGCTTATTATTATTAGTATTTATTAAAAATGCAGCTGGAGTTTCTGCGTTATTATATCTGGCATCAAAGATTTCTTTGAAGTCCTGCCATGTCATTCCTGGGTAAGAAATCTGAGATAACCAACTAGCTGCTTGACCTTTTAATGCTTTGCTCAGCGAAATCATTAATCGAGCGCCAGTTAGCGGTTGATCGGTTATACACATATCAGCTGTAGCTAACCAAGAACGCGAGTCAGCATTTTTGTTATGTGGGTCGAATTCAGGCAAATGAATTTTATTATCGACGGCTGGTGATTTTAATGTTTGCAACAAAGCCGAAATTTTTTTATTTTGTTGTTCAAATAAATACCTCCATTTATCCGCTTCAGTTTCTGCCGTTTGGGCCTGAGCACATCCCACTTCTGATGTCGGGGTTGCATCCCCTTGTTCTCCAAGGTCTGCCATACTTAATAATTGTTTATAGTAACCACACAATGTTTATTTAATAACGTTTATATTGTTTATTTTAGCACACACATACAAAACTAACTATACTCAACTAATTATTAACATAAACTAATTATTAACCACTAAACTAATGTCTATTTTGGAAACTCGTAGAATGAAGGTGATCCCACTGGTCGTGCCAAGTCAGGGATCTCAAACTGAATGAATGTCCCTCTTTCTATTACGATGCAAAAGCCATCATTGCTTGCTCATCATTTCGCATTCGGTACTTCTCCGAAATACCTGGCACCGCCCTTGATTCCACCCAAGCTTGTTTAGGCAACCAACTTGTCACTCAACGAGTTCCGTTACATATATATATATACACATTTTATTTTAAAGATATGTAAACAAGTTATTTAGATAACCATATTTAGTATAATATAGTTAAGAAAGTAGTTAAAAAAGGGTAAAATAAACCTAAAATTAACGACGCTCTCGTGGAAAATTTAGAGTAGTACAAGAAATCGTGTTTAGCGTTGATTAAGTTTTAACAACTTTTGCTGCAATTGTTAAAGGTGCAACTGCCAATAAGCGTCACCGAAAAGAGGAACATTTAACAACTATGTTTAACATAACAATTAATGTACCAAATTAAATAAAAATCCTTTTTCTGGTAATAACATTTTAATCTTGACATTTTTAAATATTAAATTAGATGTTTACTTTGTTCTTCCAGGCATAAATGCTTTAATAGTATTGTTATTTTTATAAACACAAAGGTCCATAAAACTAATAACAATCATTAAAGCTTGTCCTAAAAGTTCTTTACTTACAGACGATTGAACGTTATAATACTGTCTAATATATGGATCCACGAATATTGGAGAGCATGAATTAGTTATTTTTCGTTGGTCGTTGTGGAGGAGTTCTGAAATAGCGGCTATAGCTGATACCCTCTCATTTCCAACCAGAGTTTTAAATAATCTAAAAAGATATTTGTTTTTTTTTAGTCAAAAGAAAAATTACATAAATAATAATAATAATAATAATAATAATAATTAAAACATTTATTGCATTATAAAATAAAATTTACAAATAACTTTACAATTTACAATAAGTTTGCAATAAATATGCTACTATTCTACACAGTAAATGTTTAAAAAACATTTGTGCGTGCATATATAGACCATAATAAAAAATGTGTAAACAATGTAAAAGACAGAAATCATAAAATTAAAAATTTAACAATACAGTGTTATTAGCTTAAAGATATCAATAACTATATTAAGACTGAATGTAAACATAGACTAAACTTAAAACTAAAACTAAAATAGAAACTAAAAATAGAACTAGATCTATAAGTAAAAACTAAACTAAAAGGAGGATTATCGCAAACAATAAGTCCAGGTACACATTTTAAGTTCCTTAGTTATCCCGGGATTTTTTTTTTTTTTAGCAGGTTCTACTTTATCGTTTAACACCGTTATTCAGTCCACATTATGTAAATCTCTATTTAAGTCCCTATAGTTAATTTGCTTAATATATTTACTGCCTTCACTTTTGTTTAATTGTTTGTTGCTTAATATGATTTGGGCCATGATTGGATAGTGATCCGTTATTTTCGATTTAATTATCGGCAAGGTATAAATTATACCTGAACCGATAGGTTATTTATCCAGCTTTAATTTGCTTTTTGTAGGCTTTGATACGACCATTTCTCGCTGAGCTATCGTGAAGCATTTTCGTTTATTATTTCATCATCTTCGATCTCCAAATTTTTCACAAATGTAGTATTATCCATTAATTAGTATATATACTTTTGTATTTATTTTTTATGTTTTGTTTTAAAGTTTAATATGTGGCATTATTTTGCTTTATTTGAATTACCCGCCATTGAATACTTTGGCGCCTTCCTGTTAGTTACTTCTAGTGACTTTTGAGAAGAAGAAGAAGAAGAGTAGCGATGGCGTCAGCAATGGCGTGCTTATGAACTTTAGTTTTAACAGTGTCTAAAATATAGTTAAGAAGGGAAACCAAAGTGTTTATTTACCTTATCACCCGTGCCTACTACAGCTTCAGATGTGGGGTTTTTTCCAGGGGGCCGTAATGGTCAATATGGAGCGTAATAAAAGGTTTATTTCCTTTTGGAATATTATGTAAAGTGCCCTCAGTCTTACCGAAATTGGGGGAATAAGTTATGCATTTTATGCAATTTTTAATATAACTCTTTATTTTATCTCTAAACATTGGAAACCAATAAACTCGTGAAAGATATTCATGGGTTTTGTCAAATCCCACGTGACCCAATAGATCATGACAATGGAAAATTACTTTATTTTCCATTAATTTCGGCACAAGTAGGTATGGCGTCGGTTGAGACCACCCCCTCCACTTTTTTCCGACCCGCTAAGCCCCGCCCACTTTACCCCCTCCACTTTTTTCCGACCCACTAAGCCCCGCCCACTTCGCTTTTTTCCGACCCGCTAAGCCCCGCCCACTTTTGGACACGGACTCAGAATTGCGGCCCCATGGGGGCCCGGGGGCCCTTCGAACGGACCCATCGCCGAAAATCATGGGGGCCTCTATCTAAAATATCGGTCGTCTGAATAATAGATACCCAGTGGCCACACCGCTGAGCTCCAATGTTATCAGCCGCCCGGCGTAACATTGCATCATTTTATCCAACTGTTTTGGGGGTACGCGTAATAATAAAAATAACAACGCGGTGCCATAAGATTGCCAAAGGCCAAATTCACCTTTCCCACCAAGGTTGCCGTCAGTTGGCCGCTATCAGCCGGCCACCCTCAGGGATTGAACCCGAGACCCTCTGCACCAGAGTCGAAAGCGCTGCCTGCTGAGCTACCGTTCGGAATTGATAACAGGCGCCTAGAGATGCTATAAAAAAATGATCGGCCAGCACGTCATTAGAGGATATTAGATATATTTAAAATTTATAAAACACTTATATTAGAAAATAAATACTGTTTAAAATTGTTATTAAACTTTTGCGGTGCGCGCTGAAAAAACTATTTCCCAAAGTAATGTATGTAAAACTATGAAATAATTGCAAATTTGTTTTAAAAAATTAGACTTAACGCGGTACCACAAGATGATGACTCATCGCTAAAGGTATTATCAACTTTTAAAACAAATTTATTGCAATTAAATTAAAAGCTGAAAAATCAAGGCCAAATTCTGGTAACCTATTGTGTTGTCAGAAAATAAATATAACAAATATTTTCCGAAAAACAATGAAAAGTTTTGGTATGCTGCCTCATCTCTGATAAGCCGTTCAAGGCCAAATTGTGGTATTGTCTCCTTGAACGCCTATTTTAAGGTTACCCGAAAAACAATTAAAACCGTAAACTGCACTCCCTGTAAATTTAATTTAAATTATTAAGGTCGAATTTAAGAATTTTTAATATGGTTGTTTAGCTATTATAAAAGATTTTCATCGTTATCGAAAGGGATTTGATAAATATATAAATATGTAGATTAGTTAGGTAGAATTTAATTATGGTTGTTATTATAAAAGATTCTAGTTTAAACAATGTCAGAAAATAAATATTATATTATTTTAAGTAGGTAAATATTAATTGCAATAAAAAATTGATTTTCAATTTATAATGTATGAAATATAATTTGCTTTTGCGGTTAATGCATTGAAAGACGAACAAACAAAAAAGAATTAGTAATATAAATTTGCATTATGGTTAAATAAATTAAAATATTAAAATAGTATCGTATTTTTATCGCTTTTGCGGTCAAAGACGAACACTTTTAACACAGGGATATAGCCGACCCGGGAGCCTTTTTTGGTTTTCGAAATTGTCGGACGGAAGACTGAACGTTATCGCAGGTATAAAAAGTAGCGATAACACCCACAAGTTATCAGTCGTTATCCGTCGTCTCAAATTGATAACTGCTTTTTATCGCTCAGATAATTTAAAAATGGAAAAATTTATTATTGTTAAAGATTTTTCAAAAAATGTTCGACGCTTCAATCTTCAAGGTCGTACACTGGAGTTTAAGTTGCGAGACCCACCTTCAAGGGAGGAACCTGTGGCATGGGTGAAAAATGCCATTGGCGATGTCATCAAGAAAGCCACAGAAAATCTTTTACCGAAGGATCAAGTAGCTTTTAATTTTGGCTGTAAAGACCTGTCTAGGGGCCAAGGGTGGGTGCGATTTCAACCAGCAGACATTGTTACACTAGAGGATGTTTGGGGTGTTATCTCCAGCATCTACCAATCCAACTCCATGGGTCTAAACACCGAGACGTTTTGTCTTGGCGTTACCACCGTCAGGATACCTGTGGGGAAAGGCACCCCCAGAGGGAAAAACTACAACACTTTTGATGAAGAGTGCGCCAAGCGTCAGGGGATAATCGCTATTAAAAATAATGACAATTTATGTCTACCTCGAGCTCTTGTCGTGGCCATGGCTTACGTAGACAAAGACCCTGACTATGTTAAAGTGCGCAGGGATATTGGAAAAGTGCAGACTGAGAGAACCCAACAATTGATAGAAAAAGCAAATGTAAGGATACCTGAAGAGGGGGCTGGTATTCCCGAGCTCCATCAACTCCAACAGTATTTAACAGGCTATAGGATAGTAGTTTACAAATACGGCTGTAAAGGCCGTGACATAATTTTTACAGGGCCTGGGGAAAAGAAAAGATTAAATTTAATTCACCATCAGGGGCATTATAATGTTGTAACGTCACTAACAGCCGCCTTCTGCTGCATCTATTATTGCGAGGAATGCCATGTTCCGCATGACCACAAAAACAAGCACAGATGTTCCAAATCTTGTCCGGCATGCCAGAGGTCTCCACCATGTAAAGTAGGGATTAAGGTTAAATGTGCTGACTGCCTTCGCACATTTAAAAGTCAGGCTTGTTTTGATAACCATATAGAAGTTGGTACAGAGGGCTCTCTTTGCCAACAAGTTCGACTCTGCCCCAACTGCCTAAGAACTATAAAGGCTAATAGAGAGCATACATGCGGGGAAATTTTCTGTAAAATTTGCCAAAAACATCAGCCACAAGGGCATTTATGCTTCATGCAGCTAGATACAGGAAAGCCAAAAACAAAGGATGTACTTTTTGTTTTCTACGACCTGGAGACTAGACAGGAAAAACTCAACGGTGACAACCTGGAACACGAGCCGAATTTGTGTGTTTTCAAACAATGCTGCGATGTGTGCATAAAAACATCAGATATAATTTGTAAAAAATGTGGCTTAAGACTGCAAAAAGTTCGTGGTGCAAACCCCATTGCCAGCTTTATGATTCACATTTTAGAAATTAGAAAAAAATTCAAAGAAGTTGTTGTGCTGGCGCACAACGGTCAGGCTTTCGACCATCAATTTATTCTAAGCCACATACTGAAGAAAACTGACCTAGCCCCAGAGTTAATTATGAGAGGAACCAAAATTATATTGATGCAACTACAAAACATCAAATTTTTGGATTCCCTTAATTATTTTCCCATGCCTCTCTCAGCTCTCCCTAAAGCATTTGGATTAAAGGAACTAAAGAAGGGATATTTTCCCCATTTATTTAACACCTTGGAAAACCAATCGTATGTCGGGCCCCTACCCCAGGTCGAATATTACAGCCCTGACACGATGAAACCAGAGGCACGAGAGGAATTTTTAAAATGGTATGAGGATCATAAGCGCGACCAGTTTGATTTTCAAAAAGAGTTCATCGATTACTGTGTTTCCGATGTAGAAATTCTAACAGGGGCCTGTTTAAAATTTCGAGAACAGATGATAACAACCACCAATGTTTGCCCCTTTACCAACGCCTGCACCATTGCCTCAGCCTGCAATAAAGTGTTTAGGAGAAATTTTCTTAAGCCAAACACAATTGGTATTATTCCTAAGGGTGGTTATAGAATGACAGACAACCAGTCTATGATAGCGCTGAAATGGCTGGTATGGGAAGAAAATCAGAGGAAAATCACCATACAACATGCAGGCAGAGGGCAAGAGGCAATTTTATCCGGGTTAAAGGTTGATGGATTTTGCGAAAACCAAGTTTTCGAGTTTCAAGGATGCTATTATCACGGATGCCCCAGATGTTTTAAGCACCAGCGCGACGAGCCTCTATCAGATGATCCTACAGAATCAATGAATTTCCGGTACGAATCCACAGTGGCAAAAATCGAGAGACTTAAAGCAGCAGGGTATGACGTCATTGAAAAATGGGAGTGTGATTTCCGACGGGAAATGCGCGAGAACACCGAAATATTAAAATATGTCGAAAATAATCCGTTATTATCCCATTCGCCTCTAAACCCGCGAGATGCTTTTTACGGGGGTCGTACAGGAAATTGCAGGACATATTACAAGACCAAAGGGGCTGAAAAAATTAAATACCTGGATGTTTGCTCCCTTTACCCTTGGGTATGTAAATACGGCAAGTACCCCGTTGGTCACCCAGAAGTTTTTGTTGGCGATCAATGCAAATCTATAAATTTGCAGGAAACAGACGGAATAATAAAATGCACTGTTTTACCACCACGAAATTTGTATCACCCTGTTTTACCAACAAAAATGAACAATAAATTGATGTTTGTTCTCTGTCGTACCTGCGGACAAAACCTAAGCGCCGAGGAATGCCAACATACCGAAGAAGACCGCGCGCTATCGGGTACCTGGGTAATTGATGAGGTGTTAAAAGCTCTAGAAAAGGGGTATGAAATATTGAAGATCGATGAAGTGTGGAAATACAGGGTGGAACAGTACGATATTGATCAAAAAACCGGGGGCTTATTCGTTGAAATGATGAATAAGTTTATTAAAATTAAGCAAGAGTCTTCAGGGTGGCCTGGAAATAGTGCAACCGATGAGCAAAAGAGCAAGTACATCGAAGAATTTTTCAATCGCGAGGGCATTAAACTAGAATTCGACGCAATTTTAAATAATCCCGGGCTTAGATGTTTGGCCAAGCTTATGCTAAACAGTTTCTGGGGGAAACTGGGGCAGCAAGAAAATCAACCAAAGACCAGGATTGTGAATAACCCCGAAGAGTTCTTTAATATGATGACTAATCCTTCCATATACGTGAATTCTGTTTTACCAATCAGCGAAGACTCTTTGGTAGTTAATTACTCGTTTAAAGAGGAAAGTTACGAACCCATATCCACGGTAAATGTTTGTCTGGCAGCGTATACCACGGCTCAAGCACGACTTAAACTCTATAGTTATTTGGAAGAGTTGGGCGACAGGGTGTTGTATTACGACACCGACTCCATTATCTTTACTCATATGGATATGGAGTTTGAACCCTCAACAGGTCATTTTATCGGAGATATGACAGATGAATTAGAGTCCTATGGTCCAGGGAGCTACATTAAAGAATTTGTTAGCGGTGGCCCAAAAAACTACGCCTACAAAGTTTACTCCACTGCCGAAAAAGATGAAAAGGTGGTGTGTAAAGTCAAGGGAATCTGTCTAAATTATAACGCGTCGCTACTAGTGAACTTTGACTCCATAAAGGAAATGATTTTAACTGATTCCGAGCCAGTTAAAATCGTAACAAAAGCCATTAGACGAACAAAAGAGCATGAAGTGGTAACAAGGGAAGAAACTAAGATATATCGGCCAAACTCTCTGAAAAGAAAATTTTATGCAGATCATTCCTCGCAGCCATACGGTTTTAAACGCACGAGGGATGATCTTTAAAATATATGTAGTTTTATAAGATTTTTGTATTATAGATATTTTATGTGATAAATTATTAATAAATTATAATTTATATCAATAAAGATTTTTATTATTATCATCATCACAGTTTAAGCACCTGATTAGAAATAAAACACATTATTATTATTATTATTTATTTATAAACATTTTTATTATCATCATTACAGTACAAGTACCTAATTAGAAATAACATGAGCTCTTAAATTAGGTTTACAAAAATGCTTAAGTAAGATAATTTTAACATAGTTATGCACTTCACTATAGAAAGCTCTCAAACATGGTCTTGTTTTAAAACATTTACAACAAAACCAAGTTTTAGAGCGTGTTGCAAAAGAAATAGAAAATAAATTTATACAATCAAAAATGTCTAACCTTAGGCGCGAAACTAAACCAAATATCAATGTACACAGTACACATTATTATTATTATTTATTATAACATGAGCTCTTAAATGCTTAAGAGCTCATGTTATAATAAATAATAATAATAATGTGTACTGTGTACATTGATATTTGGTTTAGTTTCGCGCCTAAGGTTAGACATTTTTGATTGTATAAATTTATTTTCTATTTCTTTTGCAACACGCTCTAAAACTTGGTTTTGTTGTAAATGTTTTAAAACAAGACCATGTTTGAGAGCTTTCTATAGTGAAGTGCATAACTATGTTAAAATTATCTTACTTAAGCATTTTTGTAAACCTAATTTAAGAGCTCATGTTATTTCTAATTAGGTACTTGTACTGTAATGATGATAATAAAAATGTTTATAAATAAATAATAATAATAATAATGTGTTTTATTTCTAATCAGGTGCTTAAACTGTGATGATGATAATAATAAAAATCTTTATTGATATAAATTATAATTTATTAATAATTTATCACATAAAATATCTATAATACAAAAATCTTATAAAACTACATATATTTTAAAGATCATCCCTCGTGCGTTTAAAACCGTATGGCTGCGAGGAATGATCTGCATAAAATTTTCTTTTCAGAGAGTTTGGCCGATATATCTTAGTTTCTTCCCTTGTTACCACTTCATGCTCTTTTGTTCGTCTAATGGCTTTTGTTACGATTTTAACTGGCTCGGAATCAGTTAAAATCATTTCCTTTATGGAGTCAAAGTTCACTAGTAGCGACGCGTTATAATTTAGACAGATTCCCTTGACTTTACACACCACCTTTTCATCTTTTTCGGCAGTGGAGTAAACTTTGTAGGCGTAGTTTTTTGGGCCACCGCTAACAAATTCTTTAATGTAGCTCCCTGGACCATAGGACTCTAATTCATCTGTCATATCTCCGATAAAATGACCTGTTGAGGGTTCAAACTCCATATCCATATGAGTAAAGATAATGGAGTCGGTGTCGTAATACAACACCCTGTCGCCCAACTCTTCCAAATAACTATAGAGTTTAAGTCGTGCTTGAGCCGTGGTATACGCTGCCAGACAAACATTTACCGTGGATATGGGTTCGTAACTTTCCTCTTTAAACGAGTAATCAACTACCAAAGAGTCTTCGCTGATTGGTAAAACAGAATTCACGTATATGGAAGGATTAGTCATCATATTAAAGAACTCTTCGGGGTTATTCACAATCCTGGTCTTTGGTTGATTTTCTTGCTGCCCCAGTTTCCCCCAGAAACTGTTTAGCATAAGCTTGGCCAAACATCTAAGCCCGGGATTATTTAAAATTGCGTCGAATTCTAGTTTAATGCCCTCGCGATTGAAAAATTCTTCGATGTACTTGCTCTTTTGCTCATCGGTTGCACTATTTCCAGGCCACCCTGAAGACTCTTGCTTAATTTTAATAAACTTATTCATCATTTCAACGAATAAGCCCCCGGTTTTTTGATCAATATCGTACTGTTCCACCCTGTATTTCCACACTTCATCGATCTTCAATATTTCATACCCCTTTTCTAGAGCTTTTAACACCTCATCAATTACCCAGGTACCCGATAGCGCGCGGTCTTCTTCGGTATGTTGGCATTCCTCGGCGCTTAGGTTTTGTCCGCAGGTACGACAGAGAACAAACATCAATTTATTGTTCATTTTTGTTGGTAAAACAGGGTGATACAAATTTCGTGGTGGTAAAACAGTGCATTTTATTATTCCGTCTGTTTCCTGCAAATTTATAGATTTGCATTGATCGCCAACAAAAACTTCTGGGTGACCAACGGGGTACTTGCCGTATTTACATACCCAAGGGTAAAGGGAGCAAACATCCAGGTATTTAATTTTTTCAGCCCCTTTGGTCTTGTAATATGTCCTGCAATTTCCTGTACGACCCCCGTAAAAAGCATCTCGCGGGTTTAGAGGCGAATGGGATAATAACGGATTATTTTCGACATATTTTAATATTTCGGTGTTCTCGCGCATTTCCCGTCGGAAATCACACTCCCATTTTTCAATGACGTCATACCCAGCTGCTTTAAGTCTCTCGATTTTTGCCACTGTGGATTCGTACCGGAAATTCATTGATTCTGTAGGATCATCTGATAGAGGCTCGTCGCGCTGGTGCTTAAAACATCTGGGGCATCCGTGATAATAGCATCCTTGAAACTCGAAAACTTGGTTTTCGCAAAATCCATCAACCTTTAACCCGGATAAAATTGCCTCTTGCCCTCTGCCTGCATGTTGTATGGTGATTTTCCTCTGATTTTCTTCCCATACCAGCCATTTCAGCGCTATCATAGACTGGTTGTCTGTCATTCTATAACCACCCTTAGGAATAATACCAATTGTGTTTGGCTTAAGAAAATTTCTCCTAAACACTTTATTGCAGGCTGAGGCAATGGTGCAGGCGTTGGTAAAGGGGCAAACATTGGTGGTTGTTATCATCTGTTCTCGAAATTTTAAACAGGCCCCTGTTAGAATTTCTACATCGGAAACACAGTAATCGATGAACTCTTTTTGAAAATCAAACTGGTCGCGCTTATGATCCTCATACCATTTTAAAAATTCCTCTCGTGCCTCTGGTTTCATCGTGTCAGGGCTGTAATATTCGACCTGGGGTAGGGGCCCGACATACGATTGGTTTTCCAAGGTGTTAAATAAATGGGGAAAATATCCCTTCTTTAGTTCCTTTAATCCAAATGCTTTAGGGAGAGCTGAGAGAGGCATGGGAAAATAATTAAGGGAATCCAAAAATTTGATGTTTTGTAGTTGCATCAATATAATTTTGGTTCCTCTCATAATTAACTCTGGGGCTAGGTCAGTTTTCTTCAGTATGTGGCTTAGAATAAATTGATGGTCGAAAGCCTGACCGTTGTGCGCCAGCACAACAACTTTTTTGAATTTTTTTCTAATTTCTAAAATGTGAATCATAAAGCTGGCAATGGGGTTTGCACCACGAACTTTTTGCAGTCTTAAGCCACATTTTTTACAAATTATATCTGATGTTTTTATGCACACATCGCAGCATTGTTTGAAAACACACAAATTCGGCTCGTGTTCCAGGTCGTCACCGTTGAGTTTTTCCTGTCTAGTCTCCAGGTCGTAGAAAACAAAAAGTACATCCTTTGTTTTTGGCTTTCCTGTATCTGGCTGCATGAAGCATAAATGCCCTTGTGGCTGATGTTTTTGGCAAATTTTACAGAAAATTTCCCCGCATGTATGCTCTCTATTAGCCTTTATAGTTCTTAGGCAGTTGGGGCAGAGTCGAACTTGTTGGCAAAGAGAGCCCTCTGTACCAACTTCTATATGGTTATCAAAACAAGCCTGACTTTTAAATGTGCGAAGGCAGTCAGCACATTTAACCTTAATCCCTACTTTACATGGTGGAGACCTCTGGCATGCCGGACAAGATTTGGAACATCTGTGCTTGTTTTTGTGGTCATGCGGAACATGGCATTCCTCGCAATAATAGATGCAGCAGAAGGCGGCTGTTAGTGACGTTACAACATTATAATGCCCCTGATGGTGAATTAAATTTAATCTTTTCTTTTCCCCAGGCCCTGTAAAAATTATGTCACGGCCTTTACAGCCGTATTTGTAAACTACTATCCTATAGCCTGTTAAATACTGTTGGAGTTGATGGAGCTCGGGAATACCAGCCCCCTCTTCAGGTATCCTTACATTTGCTTTTTCTATCAATTGTTGGGTTCTCTCAGTCTGCACTTTTCCAATATCCCTGCGCACTTTAACATAGTCAGGGTCTTTGTCTACGTAAGCCATGGCCACGACAAGAGCTCGAGGTAGACATAAATTGTCATTATTTTTAATAGCGATTATCCCCTGACGCTTGGCGCACTCTTCATCAAAAGTGTTGTAGTTTTTCCCTCTGGGGGTGCCTTTCCCCACAGGTATCCTGACGGTGGTAACGCCAAGACAAAACGTCTCGGTGTTTAGACCCATGGAGTTGGATTGGTAGATGCTGGAGATAACACCCCAAACATCCTCTAGTGTAACAATGTCTGCTGGTTGAAATCGCACCCACCCTTGGCCCCTAGACAGGTCTTTACAGCCAAAATTAAAAGCTACTTGATCCTTCGGTAAAAGATTTTCTGTGGCTTTCTTGATGACATCGCCAATGGCATTTTTCACCCATGCCACAGGTTCCTCCCTTGAAGGTGGGTCTCGCAACTTAAACTCCAGTGTACGACCTTGAAGATTGAAGCGTCGAACATTTTTTGAAAAATCTTTAACAATAATAAATTTTTCCATTTTTAAATTATCTGAGCGATAAAAAGCAGTTATCAATTTGAGACGACGGATAACGACTGATAACTTGTGGGTGTTATCGCTACTTTTTATACCTGCGATAACGTTCAGTCTTCCGTCCGACAATTTCGAAAACCAAAAAAGGCTCCCGGGTCGGCTATATCCCTGTGTTAAAAGTGTTCGTCTTTGACCGCAAAAGCGATAAAAATACGATACTATTTTAATATTTTAATTTATTTAACCATAATGCAAATTTATATTACTAATTCTTTTTTGTTTGTTCGTCTTTCAATGCATTAACCGCAAAAGCAAATTATATTTCATACATTATAAATTGAAAATCAATTTTTTATTGCAATTAATATTTACCTACTTAAAATAATATAATATTTATTTTCTGACATTGTTTAAACTAGAATCTTTTATAATAACAACCATAATTAAATTCTACCTAACTAATCTACATATTTATATATTTATCAAATCCCTTTCGATAACGATGAAAATCTTTTATAATAGCTAAACAACCATATTAAAAATTCTTAAATTCGACCTTAATAATTTAAATTAAATTTACAGGGAGTGCAGTTTACGGTTTTAATTGTTTTTCGGGTAACCTTAAAATAGGCGTTCAAGGAGACAATACCACAATTTGGCCTTGAACGGCTTATCAGAGATGAGGCAGCATACCAAAACTTTTCATTGTTTTTCGGAAAATATTTGTTATATTTATTTTCTGACAACACAATAGGTTACCAGAATTTGGCCTTGATTTTTCAGCTTTTAATTTAATTGCAATAAATTTGTTTTAAAAGTTGATAATACCTTTAGCGATGAGTCATCATCTTGTGGTACCGCGTTAAGTCTAATTTTTTAAAACAAATTTGCAATTATTTCATAGTTTTACATACATTACTTTGGGAAATAGTTTTTTCAGCGCGCACCGCAAAAGTTTAATAACAATTTTAAACAGTATTTATTTTCTAATATAAGTGTTTTATAAATTTTAAATATATCTAATATCCTCTAATGACGTGCTGGCCGATCATTTTTTTATAGCATCTCTAGGCGCCTGTTATCAATTCCGAACGGTAGCTCAGCAGGCAGCGCTTTCGACTCTGGTGCAGAGGGTCTCGGGTTCAATCCCTGAGGGTGGCCGGCTGATAGCGGCCAACTGACGGCAACCTTGGTGGGAAAGGTGAATTTGGCCTTTGGCAATCTTATGGCACCGCGTTGTTATTTTTATTATTACGCGTACCCCCAAAACAGTTGGATAAAATGATGCAATGTTACGCCGGGCGGCTGATAACATTGGAGCTCAGCGGTGTGGCCACTGGGTATCTATTATTCAGACGACCGATATTTTAGATAGAGGCCCCCATGATTTTCGGCGATGGGTCCGTTCGAAGGGCCCCCGGGCCCCCATGGGGCCGCAATTCTGAGTCCGTGTCCAAAAGTGGGCGGGGCTTAGCGGGTCGGAAAAAAGCGAAGTGGGCGGGGCTTAGTGGGTCGGAAAAAAGTGGAGGGGGTAAAGTGGGCGGGGCTTAGCGGGTCGGAAAAAAGTGGAGGGGGTGGTCTCAACCGACGCCATACCTACTGGCACATAAAACAATGACTTCTTTTTGTCCTTAAACTTACGATATACCAAACCGTTAATGATCTCATAATCCCTATCTTCACTCGTTTCTAGTTTAGACTTAATTTTATTTATGTCCGTGTCCAAACTTTGCGCAACCGAAAGATTTTCTTCAAAAGTGTTTTCCTCAAGTATCAAAATACTGTTTGCGCGGCTCAACGCATCGACGTGAGCCATTCTCTTGCCTGGACGATGCTCAATTTCGTAATTATAATTCTGCAAAAACATTGCCCAACGCGATATTCTAGGATTTACCTGTTGTTTACTTAAGGTCAGTCTAAAGCTGTCACAATCAGTAACTATTTTAAACTTAATACCGAACAGATAAGTGTGGAAACGTTTTAACGCGTATATCACAGAAAGACATTCTAACTCAAAATAATGGTATTTCGATTCCGCGGGAGTTGTACGGTGACTGTAATAAAATACTGGATGAAACAAATTGTTACCTTGTCGTTGCATAAGGGTGGCACCAAAACCTGTGCTACTTGCATCGCAATGTAACTCGGTTTCTAACGTAGGGGAATAAATCGCTAAGACTGGGGAACTTGCTAATTTTTGTTTTAATAGTTCAAAGGATTTAATTTCGTCTTCCTCAAATTTGAAATTTACATTCTTTCTAATTAAACTGTATAATGGACCAGCAATTTTTGAAAAGTCGGGAATAAACCGCCTAAAATAACTAGCCAACGCGACAAAACGGTGTGCCTCCTTTGTCGTCCTTGGGACCGGGAAACTAATATAAAAATATTAAAGTTGCTAATTTCACTCCTTTAACTTTTATTCTTTAAATATAAAAATTTTATTTTTAACTTTATACTGAAATTATATGTATTTTATTTATTATCATCTTACTAATTAGGTATGTTAATCGATCTATTTTGATTTTACATTTTAAATTTTTACTAAAATGGTGTAAATTTAACTTTTACACAGTTTTAAAATAAATTTTACCTGGTGTAAATTGAACTCCTTTTCAGTGTTAAATAATATGTGGTTTTGGTCAAATTAAATCATTCTACACAAAAAAAAGGAAAAAAAAGGAAACAGGAAGTTCCTTGGCGCATTACTAGTATATTACCAGTTGTATTATTATTATTTGTTATAATTAGTAATTTTGATAAATTGTTTATTAACAATTTCTAGGTGCAGTCATGTTCCAGCGCTTAAGAAGGCACGACGCGAGAGTTAAAGCTAAAAACGTATAAGATTAAAACCAACAATAATTTTTAAAAAGTGCAAACTAATTATAGTGAAACAAACAATTTTCATAGAGTGCCAACTAAAATGGTGTAACGGTCATTGAGGAGTGAAGTGGTAAGTGATATGAATGAGTTAAGTGCCACCTGTCATTGGACGCTTTTCACTGGACAATCAAAGGAGGTCAAACAAGAGGGGAGGTGGCCATCCGCAAAAAAATTGATAAGTTACCTTAAGAATATGCATGACCTAATACAAAATCTGCAATTTAAACACGGCAGATATCTTAAAACCTAAGAAAGGCACACGGCGTAGGGCAATAAATCTGTCAACAACAAATGCGTAATGCAATCCCAAACGAAACCGAAAATAAACACTAGACTCACAGAATAAACTAACACATTAATCATTATAACCCTAACACAGTAAAAAAAGCCTAATAACCAAACTCTACTAGTTTTGTAAACATTAGATAACAGAATAATTGCGCTTGTCATTTGTTTAACTAATAAATAAATGCAATACTTAATTTTGGAATTTAAGAAAAAAAGACAAAACTCTACCACAAAACGTGCTTGGGACAAAATTTACGCAAACTTGAACGGAAGATCATTACACTACTAACTACAGACTTACCCGACTACCATCACAAACATCCCCGCGACCTGCTAATGGGCAAAACCATTACCAAAAGAGTAAGAGTAGCCCAATTAAAATACTGGGTCCACGTCACTCGTAGGCAACGCAACAACATACTACAAGCCACCCTTAAACTAGACCTTACAGACATAAAAGTCGGGAGACCATGCTTCACATATGACACGTTAGCACAAAACATGCACTTCTCATAAATTAACAAGACCAGTTGGGAGCAACTAAGCAACAATAAAAAAAAAACAACTGACACACTTTACCAAGTGCAGGAACTATCTGACCAGGACACGGACAATGACAATAACGAACAAGACAAAGACCTCGACTAGGAAACTACACCCCTGCAGCGAAATAACAACTCCCCAACTTCAAATAGTAATCCCAAATGTTTGGAGTAATACTAATCGACTGGTCTAGGGGGATTCCGCGTCGTACTTAGTTTTAAGTCGGCGTAATTGTCCCCCAAAAACCAACATCCTCCCGTCCCTCCTCCTATACCCTACTGGACGTATAGCATCGGCTCGGCGAACCCGAGAATGGTTATTAAAACTATTCGCATCTCGCTCTCGAGCCCCAAATAGGGTCAACTACCCAGGCTCAGCGTAGGGATTTCAGTAGCTTTAAAAATTTCACTGGCTTCTTGTAAAAGTCATAGCTGGCAGGGATTTTTATAGATTCCTGCATTGAAATTAATAGCGTCTAGTAAATTTGAAGTATTTGACTATATTTCTTTTATTACCCTCTACTGCTTTTGACAATTGACATTTAAAAAATGCATTTATTGACCATAGAAAAACAATATTGACCGTTTTGCACGTTTTCATATTTGCGTAGATGTGATTAAATGTCAAAAACTATACAAGGTGTTCCAGGTTTTAATCGACAAACTTTTTGAATCGATAGAGCTCCAGAAAATAAGTCGATTCATTTCAGAAAATATAATATATCTCAAACTCATAAAAAAGAAGATATATCTTAGACCGTCAAAGTTGGAACAAAAAATCGTTTTTTTCTCAACTTTTGATGACAGTTGACTCCCCCCATTATGTACGGCCCTTATACATTTTAATAAAACGCGTATTATTGTTCCATTTTGGTAAACTTTGGTAATCGGTTAACTGGTTTTAAAGTTTATAACCTCTTATATCCTTAAAAAGGAATATTAGGGGTTGGCCCTGTTCTATCCAGCTGGAGGGGTTCTTTTTAGATTTTTTTTATATGTGGGCGCCACTTGGCTAAGTCAAGAACAATACAAAACACTAAAATTACTCAAAGTAGTAGTAAGAGAGAAGATAAACAAAAAAATAACTTACTTAAACTATATTACCAAATATAAAGGAATTGTTACCCTATACGGGGGGATAGTTACAATGTATTGGTGTTAAATTCCTTGAGGTGGCCTGGGCCAGTCGTATACGGCTGACATTGGGTTGGTTGCTCGTAGATTATCAGACTTCGGACAACGCGTGTAAGGCGGAAGACAGTCAATTGGCTCTGGGCAGCGGAAACGTAATTTTCACTCAGTTCGGGCTGCTAGGCTAACTGTGTCTTTAAGTTTCTTTCAAAACCACTGAAGATTGCTCCAGACGCCGCATGGAACATAATATATAATATATATACATTAATATATTAGATCAATTACCAGGCACCAGGACCACCACAAAGCATAACATTCAGTATTCAGCCCGTGGTAACTTAACAAGTGATAACAATATCAAAAGTGCTGTCATATCAACTAAATACTTAAGATTAATAGTAACAAAAAACACTCCCTAACTTTAACTTAAAGCTTAATAATAAAATAGCAAATTTTTGTTGGCAATATAGTAAGAAAAATAAATGATAGGTAGGAGATAAAAGAAGTATCTAGTGTTAATGATTAATAATAATCTCCATTTTGTTCATGCAAGTTGGTCTAATGTTTCTAGTCGAATCGAGGCGTGGTATAAAAAAATTGTTATTACAAAAGTTACAAAAGATGTAAACAACTACGTGTTTTATAATTAAAACGCAAAACACTCTAGATAAAGTATCTTAAAAAGAAACTGGATAAAAACCAAGCGCTCGGTTCTTCTCCATGCTTCCACGAAGCCTCCTTACCCCCACCTCATTTCAGGTTCAATATATGTTGTGTAAAGAGTAATCTTAAAATGGTGTCAAAATCCAACACCAAGTGGTGTTAATATAAACACCATGAATTATGGTTGAAAATGTTATATACAGCAAACACCAAAACGGTGTTTATCTAAAAATATTTGAGAAGTGCACCTACACAGAAAAAAGGAATATTTCATTTAACTATATTAATTTAGTTGACCCATAAGTATTTATTTAAATCAACTGTGGGAAGGTTAATATAAACAAAGATTAGTTTGACGGTACTAAACCAGATAGTTATTTTATTTTTTTAAATTGGTTAAATTAACCCAGAAAACTTTAGTGAAACCAACCGGCTGTATGGTTTACTAAATATATTCTTTGTAAAATAAGAGTTACTTCAACCTAAAGCTTTCTGTTAAAACGATTAAAACAATTTGCCGTGCATTCCTGGTTGCATAGTGTGTACCCATCGCGCCAAAGGCGGTGTGGATCACGTGATGTTCTTAAATCTCGCCTCTGTTGACTTACATAAAGAGTATATAAGCTTAGGTAGTCCTTAGCTTTGGTGTGACACTACAAGTTGTTCGATACTAAAGAGACCTTAAATAGGTGGAAACAGCTGTCAATACTTGAAGTATTTTAACTTGGTGGAACGCACTAAAAACATTATCTCTAGCGAGTTGAAGGTTCAATTTTCTGGAATAATACCACTGGTAGTATACGTATTAATTAACAATTGAATTTGATAAAAAACGTTTAGTTTTCGTCGGTTCGCACCTAGAATTTGTAAATGAGTATGAGTATGAGTATATGAGTATAAGAGACGTATAACCAGCCCCATTTCATCATCACTCTCGGACCCCGTACAGGCCTATTTTTACTTACGCCGATTTTTGTTCGCCCCCAGCAACTGTACGGCTTCACCCGTGTTTGCTGGGTGCGAATGTCCATTGCGTAGTTAGGAAAATCATCTCATAGATGTCGTAATGTGTATCGTTACAACTTCTCTGGCAGATTATCTTTAAACTCGATTGCTTCAATCATACTGGGTTCTTGCTCTTTTACTTCCTCGGGTTTCCCAAATCTGGGCTGACTCCTACAGCTCTGCTTTGCCACCTCGAACTCCAAAGTTTGAGCCAATGCATTAACCAGTTGGCCCGGTCGAGCCGGTATCATAGCCTGTCTTGTTTTGTTGTCCCGAAGTCCATCCAAAAAAGCTTTAACAGCTAAACGTTCCATAACGGTCGTTGGCGTAGCTTGATATGCTAATCAGAGTCATAAAATTTGTTACGAACCTTTTAAAGGTACTAATTGAGAATGGTATGGCTTTTTTATTAGAGGCGCCATATGCACAGTAAATAATAAATTTAAAAAATCACTTGGCTAAGTGCTGCTATTTTAAGAGATGCTAGCGATTTGACTACGCCCAGACAAGTAAATTTTATTAAATCTTAGTCAAATTCACTGCCATTTATTAAAATCAATGACATGTAGTAAAATCCCTAGACCAAGCTCTTCAAATATTTACAAAGTTAACATTTTTGAGACCTCTTTCACAGAAATTGTTATATTAGGATGAACATATAAAAGATCCTCTCTTCTCCCATAGTATTCCAGATAAGTCTTAAGCAATTTTAGTGCAGAAAAGCTTCTCTCAGCTGTTGCAGTGCTTACCGGAAGTGTGCAGAATATTTTCAGATGTTCTGATATGTTTGGGTATATTTGTTCATTGTTCATTGCAAATTTTTAAAACTTGAATTGCGTTTGATTGATACTCCCAGATATTACCACCATAATTCAAGTTCTGCTCTCAAAACTGCATGATTATTGCACTCCAGATCTTGGTGATAAAATATAGTCGATTGAGAAAATTTAGAAATTTGCTCTTCTTCTATAACTCTGTCGGATTTCTGTGGAACCAACAATGCGAATGATGAGAACAAATCTTTATGTTTAATAAATCTGCTTTTTAATTGTGTCAGGACACTGTCCAAGAACGGGATAAATATATAGTTATATTTATGTAACTAAAGATTATAAAATATACAATGTGTCCCTAAACTTATTGGCATAAATTTAGGAAAAGATTGAGCAAGTCAAAATAAGACGAAAACCTAAATAAATATTTTTCCCAATTACTTATGTTTCCAAGATACAGGGTGATAAAGTGTTATCTATCATATCAGTTTTTTTAATATAACTTCTACTATGGTAGTCTTGGAAACGTGATATTTTGCGAAAAGTCACTTACTACCAAAACACATATTCACACATAATAACAATTGTTTGAGTGAACACAGTGTCGTAGAAACGGGGGTTGCTTTAATAATAATAATAATAATAATAATAATAATTTATTTGCCCAACAGAGTAATACTCCAATAACAGAGCAAAAATAATAAACAAATAATTACATAGTTTAACAGTATGAACTAAAAGTAAGATCTAGCTATAAAAATTACATCATTCAGACTACTAAAAAATAAATCACATTCTTGACTAATAAAATTAAAATTTCTAGACATAGTAAGTACAGGTGATTTAACCAAACTTATTGTTCGCGCACTGTCACAATAAAAACAATCACTTCTTCTAGAATTGATACGCGGCACAAGAATTTTAAATTGACACAATAAGTTGGCTGAATCTATCTGATTGTTGAAAAGCTTAAACAGAAATTTAAGACCAGAACAAACCCTTCTAAACTGTAGGGAATCCATACTAAAACGTTCCAAAAGAGATTCCTGGCTAATACCTCTAACTGGATACACATTATCCAATCGAAAAGACAGGAGTTTTAAAAACTTGCGCTGTATATTTTCAATCATATTAATAGGACTGTTATAGTATGGGTTCCATACAATTGAACAATATTCTAATTTTGACCTGACAATACAAAAATAAAGGGATTTTAAAGCAGATTCGTTAGTAAAACCAATGGAATTTCTACTAATAAAACCAATCAGTTTACAGCTACCAGATACAATTCGATTAACATGATCATTAAATGATAACTTTTTGTCAAATAATACACCTAAATCATCAACAAAATCTGCTGAATTCAAGGCAATATTATTAATACTATAGTTATAATCAACTGTTTTCCTTTTCATAGAAAAAGTGCAACATTTGCACTTATTTATATTAAGTTTCAGTTTGTTAGAACTACACCAATCATATACCAGATTTAACTCATTTTGCAAGTAAAGACAGTCACTGTGCGTGTTAATAATAGCGAATAGTTTAAGGTCATCGGCAAAAAGTAAATGTTGACAAGTAAGTGATAATGACAGATCATTAATAAAAATATTAAACAATAAAGGCCCCAAGTTGGAGCCCTGCGGAACATCGGAAGTTGCCACAAAGAAATCCGAACTAAAACCATTGTAAGTTACACATAATTTGCGATTTATAAGGTATGATTGAATAAGTAATACTAGGGAGTTGCTCAGACCGAAAGAAGAGAGTTTGCTTAATAATAGACCATGATCAACCTTATCAAAAGCCTTTGAGAAGTCAGTGTAGATAGCGTCAACTTGGCCCCTATCACCAATACCGTTGGAGACATACTGAGTAAACTCAACAAGATTGGTAACGGTTGAGCGCTTAGGCATGAAACCATGTTGATGAGGAGAGATAGCTTGGTAAACACCATTAAAGATAAATGTATAAAGAGACTTCTCAAAGACTTTCGAGAAGTTAGAAAGAATTGCGATGGGTCTGTAGTTGCTAATGTCGCTGGGATCACCATTTTTAAATATTGGAGTAATTTTAGTAGTCTTCCAAATTTCAGGGAATTTAAGAATAAGATTAAAGATAATTAGAAGAGGTTCAACCAGAATACCAGCGCAATCCTTAATAAGAAAACCAGGAATATTATCACAACCAGAGCACGAATTATTTTTTAACGTTTTTATAGACTTTAGAATGTCACTATCACTGAAGTACTCTAGCGTAAAGCAATCACGATAATATTGAAATGTATGAAAATCACCTATACTAGCATCATCATATACACTTTTAAAAAAATTGGCAAAACCATTAACTATACCGCCTGCATCATTATAAGTCTTATCATCAAAATACATAGTTGTAGGGATTCTAGAAGCACCCCTTCTCGATTGAACAAAACTCCAAAAAGTTTTGGGATCATTTTTAAATTGTGATTCAATATTACTAAGGTAGTTTTTGTAAGCTAAAGAAATTTTATTTTTTATAATGCGTCTAAGGCGTTTAAATTCGTCATAAAAAAGGGCATTACCTGATTTTTTGTATTTTGTATAATAATATTTTTTTAGTTTAAGATTGCTAATAATTTCAGGGGTATACCAACATGGATACGAACTTTTATCGGATTTATGTACCGGTACGAACTCATTAAAGAGTGAGTATAGTAGCTCATTTAGACTATCAACAGCAGAGTCTGGCTCAGTGTGGTTTTCCATAAATTCCCAATTAACATGACACAGTGACTCGTATAATCCCAAAAAATTGCCCTTTTTGAAGTTAAAGGATTTATTTAATTTATTATTAGGAAACTTAAATGAGTCTCTATAACCAAAATTAAGGTCAATGTTTAGACCAGGGTGGTGTATATCCTCAGGTAGTAATGGTATACTTTCCTTGGTTACAGAACAATCTATATGAGATAAACAGAGGTCTAAACGTCTGTTGTTATCATTATTAATGAGGTTAAACTGAGTAAGCAAATTAACGTTCATAAAGTTAGTTATAATCCTGGTTTTAAAGTCATTTAAATCATGGGATACAAATCGCGTTGCATTAAAGTCCCCCAATATAACTAGGTTCTTTAAATTAACTATTACAGACTCAAAGCATTCAAAAAAAATATCAAAATCATGATTAGTAACATGTGGTGGAATATATACAACGAACATAAAAATTTGTGAGTATTTCGAGATTAATTTACAGCCTATAACATCAATAAATGAGATAACATTATTTAGATTATCACAGTTAAACTTTATAACATTAAAAACATCCTTAAATGCAATAAGAACACCACCTCCTCTGGTAGTTTGGGAAGCCTCAAAGTTCCGATCTTCTCTAAATACAACGTAACCAACAGGAAAGAGTTCGGAGCTTAAAACTGCTTTGCTGAGCCAGGTTTCAGTAAAAGCAATGCAATCGTATTGATTGTCCAATAAAGATGTGTAAATTTGCTGAGTTTTCGAGTTTAATCCCCTTACATTTTGATAATAAATTAAGAAATTGGTAGTAATACTGTTGGGCTGATTTAGTTTAAACAAATAATTTGTGGAGAGCCTCGTATAAACTTAATTCTAAGATTGGTTTCGCCATTTTCCACTCGTCGAGTTAATTCACTTTTAATCGTTTTGTACTGATCAAGTTGATATTTGGTTTTATCATAAGATATATAAGTGTTTTTATAATCAGTATTTTTTAGTTTAGCCGCTTGTTTAACTATTTTATGGGTGATTTCTTCACTCGGAAAAGTGATCTTTATTGGGCGAACTTTGTTACTAGTACTATCATATTTGCCAAGGCGAAATATATTAAATTCAGTGTGGATGTTGGGATCAACAGTTTTTATAATATTGTTGACTACACCATGTTCAAGATTAGCTCTTTCTTCCTTGTTGAGAATATTATCTTCTTTGAGTCCAAATAAGATTAGATTACATTTCCTGGAGTTTCTATCTTCTAATTCATGGATAATTTCATCCATGGTGAAGTTAGCTGATTGGGTTAAGTGTTGTTGGTTAACTGACTTGAGACTTTCCACTTCTTTCTGCAGAGCCAACACAATGCTCTTAAGATCATTAATGGTATCTCCAAAGTTGGAGCATTTGACACAGGACCATGTAAGATTTTTAGACGCCTTTATTTTTCTAAGTTCAGCGGTGGATAGATCAACACAAGAATGCAGGTAGGACTCTTTGCAGAACACACAAAAAATAAGCTTATGCTCATCACTATGCTTATTACAGCAAGCACAAACCAATTGAGTCATGTTTTAGGTTTGCGCAAATATTCGAGTAATTACGATACTATTGGCAACACAGCAATGCCGCGTAGCGTGACGTATTCCTGACAAGAGTAGCAAAAAAACTATGTTGTTTACCAAATAATAGTTGCAAGAAAGGAAGTAATTATCATACCAGATAAGTAAACACTTCCTTAAAACACTGGTGCTAACAAATGTTTTTAAAATTTAACGTTTAAGCAAAGATTTACAACTAAAGATGTACACTATGTAACTGTTCACACTGTTGCCACGTTATCAAGCTTATTGTCCCATACAAACTTTAAGGTTAGGTTTTTATAACATTTGATACAATTTTTAGATTACACAGTTCGTCTACCATTAAAAAGGTGTACCTCTCAAACTTCGATAAAATAAACCGTTTACAAGATATTCGAGATTACAATAATTGTTATATCGCATTATTTAAAAGGATTAAATGGTATATGATAACAAATTTTATTTTTTAATTGAAAAAACTAATTACGGCATTCCATGAGCCTCGAAACTTTTTGCCCTGACCGTCACATTAAAAAAAATTGTAGTTTTTTCAATTAAAAATTTATTATCATATACCTTTTAGTCCTTTAATGCGACAAAACAATTATTGTTATCTCGGATATCTCGGAAATGGTTTATTTTATCGAAGTTTGAGAGGAACACCTTTTTAATAGTATCCGAACTGAGTAATCGAAAAATTGCATCAAATGGTATAAAAACCTAACCTCAAAGTTTGTATGGGACAATAAGCTTAAGCAACCCCTGTTTCTATGACACTGCGTTCACTCGAACAATTGTAATTATGTGTGAATATGTGTTTTGGTAGTAAGTGACTGTTCGCCAAATATCACCTTTCCAAGTCTACCATAGTGGAAGTTATATTAAAAAAACTGATATGATAAGTAACACTTTATCACCCACATCTTTTAAACATAGCTAATTAGGAAAAATATTTATTTAGATTTTTGTCTTATTTTAACTTGCTTAATCTGCTCCTAAATTTATGCCACTAAGTTTAGGGACACCTTGTATATATAATTATTAAAATGGCTACATCTATAAATATTTTTATCTGCTATAGTAATAATGAATTTAGTAACAATAGGATAAAAAATTTAGTTTTTTTAATTCGGCATTGTAAGGATACCGCGTTTCGTCTTTGGGGGGGGGGGGGCAATTGCCCCAATTTCCCCCCCTGCGTACGCGCCTGTTCCGATTAAAATCTTAAATACGCGAGATGAGCCAGTCATTCTGAAACGTTTTAAAGCAAAACTTAGTAGATTATAAAATATGTATGTAGTTTTAGTAACGTAGATAGAATTAATGTTGACAGAATAGATAGTTTATTGGAAATAATAGATACTAAACATTTAAACAAGGATGAAACACATTCACTGCAAAGAGTTTGCGCGAAATACGCAGACGTCTTTTATTTAAAGAATGACCCGTTAACGGTAACAAATGTTTATAAACAAAAAATACATTTACGCCCATCGATGTCCCCATCATGTGTAAATCCATACCGTTTACCACACGCGAAAAAAGCAGAAATTCATAGACATGTAGAAAAAATGTTAGCGGACGGAATTATTGAAGAATTAAAATCAGAGTGGTCGGCACCCTTACTAATAGTACGAAAAAGAGTGGATCAAAGTGGAGAGTAAAAATGGAGAGTTGTTATTGACTACCGGCTACTTAATAAACGGATTGAAGATGACAAGTTTCCTCTCCCAAGTATAACTGATATCCTAGACTCATTGTCAGAAGCCGTTTATTTTTCCCACCTTGATTTATCTCAGGGGTATTATCAAATAAATTTAGATAATGAAAGCCGACCATATACGGCCATCAGATGACTAGATTACCAATGGGGCTTAAAATCAGTCCCGTTACTTTTTTCCGAGCAATGACAATAGCTATGTCAGGTTTAAATTATGAAAGCTGTTTTATAGACTTGAATGACCTTATAGTATTTGGAAATAATTTATTTACTCATAATAAGAATCTTACAAAAGTTTTCCAAAGGTTACGAGAAGTCAATTTAAAATTAAATCCGTTAAAATGTGAATTTAAAAAAAAAAATCTTTTATTTAGGGCATATAATTTCCGCAGAGGGTGTTTTACCTAATCCGGAAAAAGTGTCAGCAATTCATAATTTTTCAAACTCTGAGGACACAAAACGATTTGTAGCTTTAGCGAACTATTATAGGCGTTTTATAAATAACTTTGCGAAAATCGCTGCACCTTTCAACAACTTAAGTAGGAAAAATGTTACATTTAATTGAACACAAGAATGTCAGACAGCTTTTGAAAATTTAAAATCTGCATTAATTCAGCCGCCTATATTGCAATATCCAAATTTCTCTCCAGAAAATATTTTTATTTTGCAAACTGATGCGTCATACTTTGCTCTATGAGCTGTGCTATCTAATAGTAATAACAGACCGGTCGCTTTTGCAAGTCGGTCTCTTAATAAGGCAGAAAGAAATTACTGACCTATCGAAAAGGAACTTGTAGCAATTGTGTGGTCTGTAAAACATTTTCGACCATACTTATGTTAAAAAGTTTAAAATACTAACCGATCATAGACCGTTAGTATATCTCTTCGGTATGAATAACCCATCTAGCCGTTTAACAAAATTTCGCTTAGTGTTAGAAGAATATGACTTTTGTATAGAGTACATAAAGGGACGCTTTATCTCGAATAGAAATAACATCACAAGAGCTTACCTCGATGAAAAACTTTGTATCTAGCGCAATGTATGTAGTGACAAGGTCACAATCCAAAATTCGTCCCGGCAATGTCATTAAAAACGCGGTTGACCAAAACAGGCCTGTATGGCACGGTGGGGCTGAAGCATGTTTAAATGACGAAAATTTGCACAAAAATTCTTTTTGCAGATTTAGAATCTGTGTATTAAAACGAGTCGAAATCCAATATTTCAGACTTTTTCCCCGAGCCGTTTTTGAGAAAACCCAATTTTAAAGTTGAAAACAGAAGTTTTTGTAATTCCAAGAAAATTTACAAAAAATTTTGTTTTTTTAAATAAAAAGAAATGGTTAGGCACTTATGGGGGGTACCTAATTAAAAAAGTGCACTAAAATTATTAATAATTTTGCCTGAAAGCATATTGAGTAAAAAATTTCAATTTCATATTTTGGAAAGAGCCCGACACCGAAAGGCTTTTTTCTCAAAGTATGAAAATGACCGATGGCAGTTTTTAAAATGCAAAATAATCTGATGATGTTGATGCACGAGTATAATTTGGGTAGATATTTACATGTATACACGAATAAACTAATTAAAACAAAGAATAACATTTTCTTTAATTGATTGCATTGATTCTGTTAGTTCAGAGCAAATAATTTATTTTCAACTGCTTCTTGCAAAAACATGACATTTTACGAACTGTCAGATTCAAATAAAACCTGACGTTTTTTTTATAAATTACCATGGTACAATGCAATTATTGATTTATAGTGTGTCAAACGATAATTGACGTGTAGTTGTATATGTATAAGACTTTTATGATAGTTGTAATAATTAACATTCGTCACTAGTTTTATGTTTGTGTTGAATTATTTAAAAAAAAATGGTTTCAAAGAAAGATCATGCTGGGACTCATGACGAAAACCGGAAAAAGATATGCTTGTTTTGTTTGAACAAGAAATTAAGTAGAGGAAGGTTGAAGGGGCCATGAAAAATGCGGTTGAAAAAATTGTTTTGTACAATCCTGAAGACGATCGTTTACCAAAGCTTACCTTGCTTGCGCAATACTAGTTTATCGAGCAAACAAAAGTAAAAAATCTAATATTAAGTTACCCGATTATTCTGAATTTCTAGTTTTACCTAAGAACAGCAGAGCTCAAGATAAAACAATTTGCAAGTGTAAATTGTGTGAACTTGTAAGAACTTCAGGACATGAAAACTTTGCGAAGAATAGGGTAAGAGTTTTAAAAAAAAGTTCTCGTAAGTGTCCAAAATGCAAGACCTTGTTGCGAAAAGGAAAACCGCATTTTTGTGTTGCTCAGAAATATGAAAATTTGGTGGAGCATGTTATGTCGGCGCTTGCTCCAAAAGCCCAAGAGCATTTAGTAATCGATTTAATGAAAAATATTACTAGAGATGCAAATATAAATCTTCAAAAACCGGGTGCTGAAGTTAGTTTGTCTCGAAGATGCGGGAAAGCGCTGAAAGTAGCCTTCAATGTTGATGCTAAAACTTCACCTAAGCCAATTGTTGCGGAAGATGTTTTAACAATTGGAACGGAATTCGGGCTTTCGAATAATGCTGTTGTCGGTATTGCTTCTGCCCTTCGTATTTCCACTAAAAGTAGACAAATGTTTGAACCGAAATTAAAGGAAAAATTACGTACTATTAGACATTCATTGGACAATTATTTTACTGTTAAAGATTGTAATGTGATTCATACAGAGAAGAGCAATAAGAAAAGTGAGACTACAGAAGCTTTAGTTTATTGCAATGATATCGAAGGTCTTCTAAAAGTAATTCATGAGAAAAGAAATAATACTGAAACGCATTTAAAATTCGGCATTGACGGTGGAGGTGGATTCTTGAAAATTTTTCAATCAATCAGGACTACCGGGACAACTAAATTTAAAGACAGTAGCGTCAAAAAGCTATTTTTGCTCGGAATAGTCGCTCATACCGAAGAAAATTATGAAAACGTAGCGATGTTGTGGTTTCTATTGCAAATAAATAAATATGAGGCGACGATAGCAACGGACCTAAAATTAGCCAATATTCTCACAGGAATTATGTCCCATTCGAGTTGTTTCCCTTGTACATGGTGTTCTGCACACAAAGATAAATTAGATATTTGCGGAGAATACAGAACTTTAGAGATCTGTTCAAGAAAATATAGAGCTTGGCGCGAAAGTGGTGGCCAAAGAGCACGAGCAAAGAATTTTGAAAATTGTATGCATCTACCGATCATTGCAAGTAGGAATGATACAAAAATAATAGATATAATTCCCCCACCTGAATTACATTTGTTGTCAACACGCTCTACAACCACATGCTTAAGGAGTTTGAGAAAGATGCTTTGAAATGGGCTAAATAATGCAATGTAATCCAGCAATTCGTTCATGGAGGTCCTGCATTCGCAGGAAATGCGTGTAGATCACTTCTTGGAAAAG